TTGGGCATCATTTATAAAAGTTAACAGGGCATATTTAATTTAGGAATTGGCTCACGTCCTTCTCCGTACAGCTGAAATCTCATAAATGAAATATACTGGATCATTGCCCAGTGCGGAAATAAAAGTTATGAATAATGTTTCTATCTCAATCATTGTCAGTGCTTTAATATTCCTAATTACTTTAAAAAACTAGATATTCAATATAGGAAAACTTTTTTCTTTTTATCTCCACTTGTGAGATTAGTGCAATTTAATAAGAGTCACTCTGTCGTCTTTACTCAGTATAAACTGACATTTCATCCTTTTACTCTTCATTATTATATGGGATGGAGGTTTATGACCAGGCAGGCAGCCACTCCATTTCCCCGTAGTGGTCCATCTAACAGCCCAGAATTATCTGATAGTTGGTGTGTCAGCCCACCAGGCAAATCAGTATCATCTCTCTTCCTTTATGGAGCAGAAAGAAATTAGTCCAGGCCTTTAAAAAAATCAGCTAGGGGGTTATAAGTCAGTAAAAGAATGAGAAGTCCCCACCCCCACCCCAGTACTAGATTTATCCCCTTCACTGCTGTCAAAGTCATAAATCCCTTGGCAGCCACAAAGGGCAGGGCAGGGTAGGGGCAGGCAGTCAGATGATGGATCTTTGTAACCCTCCCTGCCACTTCCAGGAATTTATCCTAAGAAGAAATTGGGACAAGTGGGAAAAGATATATGCATAAGAAGAATCACTGCAGCATTTTTACACAGGGCCACAATCCAGAAATCCCTAAAAAGTCCAAAACATGTTTTAAAAAATTCAGCACCAAAATCCATTTAGAGGCAAAATCTGCATGAAACCGATTTGAGGTTATATATTGTTTTTATGTCACTCGATGTGATCAGTCATAGTCACTTCAGAAATATCACTGTTTCACCCAGGGTGCTGCCCAGACCCCATGGGGGCATATGTCACACACAACATACTCACCGTATGCTTTCTAAACTCTGAAAAATTATAAATTCTGAAGCCAACAGGCCCCACGGATCTTGGATAAAGGATGGTGGGCCTATGACAGTGAAGAATCAGAAACAACCTCAATGTCCATCAACAAGGGACTAGTTAAATGCATGTGGTAATCCATAGAATGAAATTCTGTAAGGCCATTAAAAATCTAAGGGAGATTCACATTTATTGACAAGAAAATGAGTGCATGACGTAAAGTTAAATTTAAGCAGCAAGTTATAGACTAGCACACATATTTGATCTAAATAATAAAAGTTATATCCAGATCTAGTTCAATGTGCAAATGTATAGAAGAATGGCAGGAAGGATAAGCACCCAAATGCCAGCAGTGGTTATCTCTGGGGTGGAGAGTTAACCTTTTTTGTCTAACTTTTGCTACAGTTTGATTTTTCTTTTTAACATGAACAGGTATAACTTTCAGAACCAGAGAGAAAAAAAAAAACAAACAAGAACGATGCTTTCAATTAAACAAAACCAAAGCTTCTCTGAAAGGGTGTCACACGACAGACCCCATTCAGTGATCTCCAGAGACCACACTGAAGTGGGACCGAGATACCTGTCTCCACAGATTCAGGCCCACAAAGACCCTAAGGCACTGCAGAGAGTGCACTGGCAGACCCCAATAGCACGTAGCAAGCCAGCTCAAATTACCTGGGGAAAGCTGGTAACAATTTGTGTCCCATGGCTGACTCCTCTATCTCCACAATATCTCAGGGCCACATCTTTTAAGCAGAGCTCACATTTCCCTGTGAACAACCATGTTTTCTCATGACAGATCAATTTCAACACTGGGCTATATTAACAGAGGTTGAACATCCAGAAGGAGGGAGCATATAATAATTAAGAGTTCAGGTTCAGGACATAGGTTTTTGCTTGGGTGATAGTCCCAGACTTACCATTGACTAGCTGTGTGTCTGCTGGAAGTTCTTTAACCTCTGTCTGCTTCAACTTGCTCCTTTGTAAAACGGGGCTAAATAATAATTCCCATACTATAAGTTCGTTGTGAAAATTAAACAAGTAGATAAGTAAATAAAGCACTCAGTGCATAGTAAAATTCAATACATAGTAGCTATCTCCACTCTCATTTTTCCATTCTGGTCACACCAAGCTTGCAGTTGTGTGGTCAGATCTAGGAGTAAATATTTAAGAGGAATAAAGGCCACAGCCAGTGGAGAGAAACCAGATGGGAAAGGTAGTCCAGATGACATCATGTGAGAAACAAGGGAGCTTGGAGAAGAAACACTTGGGGAGGAAAATGATCACTATCTTCTAATACCTGAAGGGTTGACTCATTAGAGAGTGTCTGGTTTCTTCTGTGCAGCCTCAATGGCTATTATCAACTGCTCTGAGATGACCATTTCTATAGACACAGACTGTGGTCTTGTCCAGTGAGCTCCTTGGAAGAAATTCCAGGTACAAAGAGCATCATGGTCATCCACCACCCTGCCCTGGACTTTATTATGAGCAAGAACCAACCAGTATAAGCTAAAAGGTAGGTTTCCACTGCAGAGAAGGGAAAACTTTCCAACAATGAGAATGGGCTTCCATAAGAGGTAGTGAGCTCCTTGTCAGTGGAAGTATTCAAGCAGAGGTTGGAAAGCTCTTAGCAGAGCATCTACACATTCAATGCTCTGAATGACACTGAAGGTGAGAATCTATGAATTGCTTTAATTCAATGCTGCTGTCCCTCAAACAGGGTTGGAACCTCTTTTAGAACATCCCATGGGTTCAATAGCACATGTCTTTGAGTCGATTCAAAGCTCAATGACCCATGGCTCTTCAATCCATGAGGGTGCATTTAATTGAGAGGAAAGAGCTTTTGAGTTGCTTAGCACCAAGTCTGGTGACTGAATTGGGGGTGTGGGGGCGTTAAAGCAGACAGTCTAGTTCTGTGCTGTAAATAACAGGTCTGTTTCCCGGCTTGCTTGGTAAATTCACTCTGGGGGCAAATCATACTCTAAACTGCCTAGTCCTGTTAATCAAATGCCACCTTTGTTCCATCTCTTTCATTAGGCCAGAACCCTGAAAAGATACAGACCTTGTCTAAAAGACCCTCCAGGGCTCTCCCCACGGCCCAGCACAGTCCCGAGCATACAGCGAGCACTGAACACAGTTACATTCATCGGTGGTTTCTATACACTCAGGGCCCCAGGGGACCCAGGCTGTATTTCAATCTCTAATAGGCTGCCCTCAGCATATAATCCAGCAGTAGCAGGCAGACCCATCCCAGCAGGCCTGACCTAATCCAAGTCAGATACTCCTTCCTCAAAGATTCCTTGTGAGCCAAGTTACTCAGAACAAAACACAGATAAGGGCGGGAAAGCCCAGACATTTTACCCAATGTGTTTTGCAGTTCAAGTTGACAGAAAGACTGGTTGGACATCTTCCTTTATTTAGCTCATCTGTGCCTCAGTTTACCTTTCATTGCCTGGCCCTGTTTCCCAGTCATGGCTCACTCAAAGCAGTAGAACAAGTGGAAGGAGGAGGCCACTGTGGTCACTGGAGGTCCCAACACATTGGGGGGTTTCTTGGATACCACAAGCAGACCATGGACTCCCTGAGCCAAGAGAATCACCCAGACTCAAAACAAAACCACATACTGCCTTTGGCCAGAATGTTCTCATGCACTGCATAGACAGAGAGGCTCCAGTCAAGTCCTTTGGGAAAACAAAGAAACAAAAAAACACAACTAGATGTTTCCACCACAGCGGAGAGAGTAGAAAAGGGCAGTAACACCACACTGGGCCCACATGGACCCAACATTCTCCTCTTCGAGTTTTCAAGACTATGGTGGTCAGATATAGAGTGAGCACTAAACACAGTTACATTCATCAGCGGTTTCTATACACTCAGGGCCCCAGGGGACCCAGGCTGTATTGCAGCCTCCAATAGGCTGCCCTCAGCATTATAATCCAGCAGTAGCAGGCAGACCCATCCCAGCAGGACTGACCTAATCCAAGTCAGATACTCCTTCCTCAAAGATTCCTTGTAAGCCAAGTTATGCAAAACAAAACACAGATGGGGAACATGGAGGTGGCTCCACAAGATGGACAAATAATAGGGCTTAGATCCCTAGTGGAACCACTAACTATCTTATCTAATTAGGTCACCATAAAAACACTCTACTCCAACTCAAAGCAGGAAGAAATTTGGGCTTCAGCCTTAGTCAAGGCCTCTTTGAAAACCAAATAAGACCAAGATATTAACCAACCCTTGACTGCATAATGTGCCAATGGATAGGTGGTCATCCGCAAATATTTGGGGGCAATAAACCAGAGGGGAAGGAGGATTCATTTTCATCTGTGTTCTTGGCAGCGAATTCCCTGAACAGCTGCCAGGTAAGCTGCACCCTCTTGGTGGCCAGCCCCACAGTAGAGACAATGCACCACACCACTGTGGGTTACTGGGCCAGGCCCCAGAGCATCCACATCACCCCAAGCTCAGTAGGAAGGCTTCCCTGGAGGTGGTAAACCATCCACCCACAAAAATGTAGGAACACAAGGAGCTACCCCAACGAGTGTCCTGTTCTAATTTTGGGGACACAGAGACATCCCAAATGTCCACCAGTCTCATAAATCAGTTCCCCTGAGCCTCTGTGGGCATCCACAAAACCGAGTTTTTGGAGCAGTGAACCTGGGGACCAGGGCTAGACAACGGCGACCTCCTCAGTGTGTACTCCTGGGCACTGTGTCAATTTCACATCAACCATCAAAGACCATATCTAGAGGTGTTCCATCAAAAGTCAGAGTTGTCCAGATGACCCCACAATTCCATAAACATACAACACACAATGCCCCCACAGACCCCTACAAATCATCTCTCAAGTGCCACCAGGTTTTAACTGCAGGTACACCTCCTCCCTGATGTTCAGACGGGCTCAGGCAGCCCATCCCAAGTCGCCCAGCACAACACAAAAATGTAGCATGCACACACCACAACCCACCCCCCTACCAAGTCAGAGCCAGGGGTCCTCCTGACCCCCAAACCCCAGACTCACCGCTGGAGCAGTCGGGCCCTCCCCAGCCAGGCTCGCAGTGGCAGGTGTCCGGGGAAACGCAGCGGCCGTGCACACACTCCTCCGTACACAGGGCTGAGGGGACATGAGGAGAGAGAGGAAGAATCAGAACAACAGTGAAAACCAACCATCTGGTCAAGGAGCGTAATCCATTTTGTCACAACTCCCTGGTGCCCAGGGATGCTCACAACGCATCACTGGCTTGGGGGAAAATCAAGCTCCACCTGACCTGAGTCATTTAATTAACTCCAGAATGGATCCTACAAGAGTACATTTCATCCCCAGCCTCATTTCCTAAAATGAAACCCAAGCTGGAGAAGCGGTAACGTCGTTGGCTTTTCGAGAACATTTCCTCCAACGTTTAACAACAGAGACCTCCGCAAACCTCAGCTCCTATATCCACACCCCTGCTCTCTTTCTCCATCTGCTTAGGAAATAACCTGTCCCTTGCATCTTCTGCTTTCCCCAGTTTCCTTCTGCAAAGGCCCCAAAATGTATCAGCCTGCCTGAAAAGAAGGTCCCTTCTCACTTTTCCCCCCACCTTTCTGCCCTCCTCCCCAAATGTCCCTATTTTGGGGCGCTCAAATGTCAGCAAATCTGCAAAGTACACACATGCAGCGGAAAAAAGCAACAGCTAATTATAAGAAAGTAATTAAGAGAGACATCCACGATGATGATAATTGTAATTAGAAAGTGCCTGGCAATTTCTTATCATGCAGTTGAATGCTGCAGCCTCCTGAGGTGGGAGGTTACAGCGGCAGGCACTTTCCCTCAACCACTCTGGTGCTGTGGCTGATTGACAGCAGTCTGAGGAAGGGAAATTATTTTTCTCTTTCTTTGACAGAATCCACATTTCCTCAAGGTCATCTTTTGCTTGTGAAAGATCTGCCCCACCATCTAAGCCATCAGTGAAGGATTACAGAACGCCCCCATGTGCCACCTCCACCAAGTCTGAAGGCTCAGGGAATCAGCACTTACCATCAACCCTGTCAATTTCTTAGACCGGATCTAGATGTGTGTGTGTGTGTGTGTGTTTTTCCCTGAAAGCAAGGGACTTCTCTCGGCCCAGTACTGGCCTAGGCTAGGGGAGCAGATGGCCCCTTTTGGTGGCCTCCCACCCACTGCCTGGCCTAAATTCCCACTGGGAAGATGCTGTTGGGTTAAACAAGGCTCATTTAATGACTGGTGTGGTCCTCTGGCCCCTCCTAAGCACAGAAACTGACCCTGAAGCTGCTGCCTTAGCTTTGCCCAGGTGCCAGGCAAGGTAGACCCCAGAAGAGCCATTTCACATGCCCCACTGGTCAGTGGTCTGGAGTCAGCCTGTCCACTGCAAGGCTGGGATGTGGTGTGTCTGGAGATCCCGAGCACCTGGGTCCTTCTCATTCCTACAAGTATCCTTTGGGGAGGCTTTGGGGAGGTTGTGGCACTTCCCCAGTGCTGGAGCCCCACTCACTTATAGCCCTGGGAAGCGGCTAACCCAGTGTTGGAGAACCCAGTGGGCCCTGACCTCGGGGACCAGCTCCACTTAGAACCACAATGTGCTGCTCATGTGGCAGCTAGCAAGACTGTCACTCCTGCTGCCCGGGCTCCCACTGGACTTTCCAAACAAGCTTATATGAGTCAATGCCCCCAGGACACACCACTGTCCATCCTCTGGCTCCCCATGGGATGCCAGCCCCTCAGCCCAGCCAGCTCCCAGCCCTGGCCTCAGCTGCTTCCTTTCCCTCATCCCCACCCTGAGAGGATGAGGTCCCTACATGCTCTACAGCTGGACCCATCAGTGTTACAGCTTGTCATATTAGCTCACTGACACCGCCAACTGCTTTCTGACTGCAGAGAGCAGGACCCGGATCCCTGGGGTCTCTGCCGAGGGCGGTGAAATCAAGCAGTGACTTGCGAACCTGCCGAGTGTCAGGTCTCAAAGAGACTTAAGAGAAAATCATGTCCTGGCCCTTTGTTTTATATCTGGAGAAGCTGAGGCCTGAATGTTCATGGCCCCTTGTGCAGTGTGTGGCCTCTCGGTCAGGGAGGAAGGAGCTTGGGGTGGCTCCTGGAGCTAGAGGCCTCTGAAGGTGGAGAGAGCCCAAGGCTGTGGGGACTTCACATTTTGCCCAGGCTGGACATCCTCCCCCGCCCACATGGCTCAGGGGCTGGCGGTGGGGCCCATTCCAGAGGGAACAGCAGAGGGGTGCTGTGACAGGCCCACAAGAGGGTCAGTGGTGACCAGAGGCAGAGGGTGGAGGAGCTGCTTCAACATGCTCAGCACCACACAGGTTAGGGATAGGGTGGAGGGCAGATAATTCGAGAAGGAAGACCACCCAGTGACCTGCCTGCCTCCTGCTCCTGACCCTAGACACCCAGCCCATCCACCTGCCTCCTGTGCCTTCTCCAAGATGGGAGGGAACAGCCTTCTGGTGCTCTGAGCAAGCTCCACACTGCGCTGCCTTTGCCCTTGGTCCCTTCCCGAAGCCCCAGAGACCAGCAGGACAGTCTGCAGAGCACTGCCCCCCACACTGCAGACACAGACCCCAGCTCAGTCCTGTATCCAGCCCCTGGACCCTGGTAAGGACCCTGTTAAGGCAGCAGCTTCGGGGTCAGCTTCTGTGCTATGCATGGAGGATGGTCATCCCACAGTCCCTTGGCTTGACCCCAGGGATGCAGGTGCATCTCCCTCCTTTCCTCATCATCCTGGTATTTTGCCTGCACTGTTTGCTTGTCAAAACCTCAATCCATTCATATTTCATAGGTGTTGTTTAGACAGTGTAGTTTGAAGCATGAAATATTGATAGCAAATACCCGAGGCTCAGACTGCCATATTTGGCAATTGGGCCACTGCGTGTTTGGACACCTGGTGGGGAGGGGCTGAGGGTGCCGCGGGGAAAGTCTCCTAGGGAGGGTGGCGGTGGCCATCCCTGGTGCTGGAGCAGCCCGTCTCCAGAGACCTGGGGTTACTCAGCTGCTGCTCCTAGAGCACGTGGGTCCCCTAAGCTCTTTCAGACCACAGACCCCCATGCCAGTGACTGCCTGGGAGGGGCTGGGTTAGGGTGCTGCCACCCTGGGCTCCTTCTTGGAAACTTACAACTCTAAACAGGGCATTTTGTCAAGTCCCTCTTCACACTGCTGCACATCCATCTGCTGTCATGGACAGGGCGGCTGGACGGGCTCTGACAGCACCAGCTGTGTGATGGGGTCAGCCACTCACCCTCTCCTGGCCCCACCGAGAAATATGAACTACACTCTCACCACCCTGCCTCAGTCCTGATTCTGACCTCCCAGCATGCCACAAGCCTTCTCAGCTAGCAGCAGGATGTGCAGGGGTTGAGAACAGACTGCATCCAGAATGCCGGGTCTGGCCCAAGCGCCTTATCAGCTCTAGGCCTTGGATGAGTTGCCTCCATCTCTGTGTCAGCCCCATCTGTTCAGTGGGGTACGGTGGCAGGATGGGCCTCACAGGCTGTGTGAGGATTGAATGAGTTGATGGAGTGCCCAGAGCAGGGCCTGGGGTATAGAAAACGCTGTGTGAACCTTGCTGTTGTTACTAGAGTCTCCTCGGCCCTGAGGACAGGCTCCTGGTGAGGTTCAAGCCTCTTCTACCCTCCACTCACTCCCATCCTGCACAGAGGTCTTGGACACGCGACGGGTGGTCTGTAGGGAACTGCAGACAGATCCCTGGTTGGGGACAGTGCTGCTGGAGGGCAGTGCCATCTCCAGCCTTGGCAGGCAAGGCCAGGGTGGTAGACAATGTGATGATCTAAGTTTAAATTCCACATCTGCTAATTACAATTACAGTTACAGGACAATAAACAATTAAACTTCCATGCCTCAGCTTTTCCATCTGTAAAATGAGGACAATAGTAGTGTCTACCTTATGGGTTGCTGCAAAGATTAAATGAAATAAAACACGCAAAGTTCTTAGACCAGTGCCTGGCATATAGGCACATAGTAAGTACTCAATAAGCATGAGATGCTATTGCCATCTCTCTCTCTCTCACACACACACACACACACACGGGCTGTGGGATGTCTAACACAGCTGACAGCTGCTGCCATTTGTTGCCACTTCCTGTGCACTACCACTTTCTGAGCACCTACTATGTGCCAGACCTTAGGGCTTTCACACACACTCCCTCAGCCTCTGGCACAGGCCATCCCAGTACACGCTGAGGGAGGTAGCTATGTCTGCACTGTCTCTCTTTTGAGGATCTCCAGCTCCTGGGGGAGACAGGCTGCTTCCCACTCCTCCTTTTTAAGCCCTCATGCTTTCTGGTACACAGTAGGTGCTCAATGCTTGTGAGCCCCACACTCACCTGCCCCAGGAAAGAATACCACAGCTCACGTGAGAAAGGCATGCTTGTTTTCCCCAAGCTCAACCTCAGAGCTTGGTCACAGAGAAGTCACCAAATCTGCAGACCTGTCCCTTGGCTCAGGCTGTTTATGGCCCTGTGGGACCAGGGTGATCGGGGTGTTGAGGATGGTGGTGTGGGGTTGCAGAACAAATCCAGCCTTGGTGTCAGGCAGCCCTGATTCGTGTCTACAAACATCACTCTGTGATATCAATAACTCACCATCCTCTCTGGGCCCTGCAACTTCACCGGGAAATCAAGATTAAACCAGATGAGGTTTCAAGTCCCATGCAGCTAAGAATCCCCTCAATCTGTCCTCCTGCCCACCCCCTCCAGGACACACCTGGATTGCTGCCATTGCTTCGGTTCCCCTTCCTGGCCCCCAAGTCCCAGCCCCTTTCTATCACAGGGACCCCTGCTTTCTTTCCTCTATTCCTTTGGAAATGGCACTGGGTGAGGAGCCAACTCTCTGGGTTCAGGCTCTTGTCCATAAAACAAGAGCATTAGAACACATTGCCTTTAAGGACCCTTCCATGACTGACATCCCTCGATGCTTCTTTTCTGACCTAGGACCACACTGACTCCAGCACACCACCTTAGAAAGCTGGAAGCTTGAAATACTTCCACTGAGCTCCCTAGCCCTGGGTCACCTGGCCACCAAAGCCAGGCACAGCCTCCATTATCCAGCCCCACCAAGAAGCCAGGAAGGGAGAGGTTCCTCCAGCCACCCTA